ACTTGACTTTCCGTTTTTCTTGTTTTTTCCCGGCTGGTGATCCTTCCGGTACCACCATACTCTTCAACTCCGCGTTCACCTCTGGGATTTCTCGTCACAGTGACATCCCGAAGAGATATTATACGTGACGTATATCACCGCGACATTTCAACAACAACGTGGAACAGTCTTGGGGGACACCAAAGATCGAGAGATCGACGTGGCACAGACCGCCGCGCGTACCAAACTTTTGAAATTAATAAGTTTCAGAAGAAGCGTGCGTCTTACTTGAGTGTACATTTGACAGGTGAGCAATCCGCTGGAATAATTGCTGAACTTTTGAAGATGTTTGCTTGGGCAAAATTATTTACTTTGGAATTCACCTTTGAAAAGTTTCCGTTTCATTATCGTGGGTTAAATGCAATAAACGTTCACCTCGTATTATATTGTTCTCGATAATTGTGGATTTGGTCGAATCGTTGATTCTAAAATCAAAAATTGCTTGCGGTGAAATTGATTTATCTTGAGGAAAGGGGTTTCCTAAACGAAAGTTGTGACGAAGGTTGTATTTGTAACCTTGTAACTTTCTGATAGTGGAATTTTCACAATATTTTCATTGTACAATATTTTCATTTATCCAAAAAATGAATTAGAATATTATTATATTTTCTTATCATCTTAGTGTCAACTATTTTTAATATTATAATTTTTCTATAGAATTAATTTCTTATTACATATCATCGACAATGTGTTTTTGGTTCATTGAGTTGATATTATTTGAATACTTTAAGTTTCATCAGCAATAAGGTAATATAAAACAGCTAAAACTGAAATTGAAATTTGCAGTTTGAATATATTTCACTACTGTGTTCAATAAAGTGTGAACCATTAAGTTAACAGTCTACAACAACAAATTTTTCGAAGTCACTGAAGATCGCGCAAACAACATTTTCTGTTCAATTTTCGATGTCACTGCGAAGCAACGTTATGTTTATTCTTGGACCTTTCAGACGCTTCACTTATGTGTCAACACATCGTAATGGCACCGAAAAGTAGACAGATAACTTTGTTTGTACGACCTTCACTGACTTTGACTTTTGCGACTTTAGAAAATAAGAGGTCGTTCCAGATATTTGTCAACATCAGCTGTAATTCCTTTTCAGATTTCAAAACCGTGGACTTATATTACGCTGTAATATAGATGTCTTTTATTTAAATATTAATTAATATTTGTTTGTAACATTGAGGTATTGAAAAATAAATTTTTATCCGTACGTGGATGTGTATCTAAAAATAAGAATATCAATATAAATGACTTACCTGATGAAAGCGTAACCCTTGTCCTTAAATACACGTATCTCTTGGATGGATCCAAAAGGTGAGAAAGTCTTTTGCATCAGTTCTTCTGTCAGACCATTAGTTAGTCCACCACAGTATACCGTGCAATTTGTTGGACTACTCTGATTGTATACTTCGTCGAAAGTCAGCGGCTTTGCATTCGCTGCAAATACAAAATAGAAAACATTAATAACGAGTTATATCTTCCAATATGTAATGAATTATATTTCTGTAATACGAAAAAATGTCCATAATAAAGTATTTCTAGATTATTGATTATTTCGGTTAAAATCTTCATTAATATAGTTATTACAATACATTTCCCGTTTGATATTTTAATTATAAAATCCCATAGGCTCCCAAATAAATGAATTATGTAGATAGTAATTTGAATATCTATTATTTGTCATTCTCGCAAATTATAATATTTTCTTATTGTTAAAAAAAATTAATTTTCGTTTAGAAAGCTTATAAAATAGCAGCTAAATGCCTGCGTTTGGATAAAGCTTCATATAATTTAAAATTATGTTATACGGGACGTGTAACTTTCTAAAAAAACCAATATGAACAAGCGTGTTATATTCCGAGAGGTAAAAAAGCACGATTCTATTTACATAATTATCGGAAAACTTAATTTTGATTACAAATATTATTAATTGGTATTCATAGCTGTAATGTTATCTATAAATTATGGTTAAAAGCAATGCGAATTTATTGTCATGTTTGGTAGTCATTATTGTTAGTTACTATTTTTGAAAATAGTGATCTCAATTTAGGAAAATAGTGCATTTATATATTATGGCAAGATTTATTGTACATTTATTTATTTTAAACGATATACTGATTATATTGAATGTCTTTAAAGTATTAAAAAAAGTAATTTCATTTAAACTGCATGACATTAATAAATTTATCATAATCATATTTTACTTATTTACACATACAGTAAATGTAATAAAGTTTAAGTTAATAAAGTGTAATTTTACTTTAAGTAAGTTAATTATAGGATTTAAATTCATTTACGAAACTACAAGCACTCTAGTCAGTTCAATTACGAAGTTTTAAAAATGTTCAGATTTAATTTTTGCTTGCCATAATTATTACTTAAGGAATGCATGAGTAATACTTTAGTATAAGTAGTTCGGTGAACCAGTCAAAATCCTTGAACAACTTTATTTTAGCACAGCGAACTCTTACTTTGGTCATTAATAATCTTCACCTGACGCACATAAGAAACTATTCAACCTAAGCAATACATTAACAATGCGTGAATAGCTGCAGTACTTCAGCAAAGTAGTAAACTCAATTAAAATTTATCAAAAGTTTAATATAAATTCCAAGCTTCGTGCGTCCTCAAGATTTATCACTATAAAATAAAGATTTTAGTATGATCACTTGTTATAAAAAATTATTATGTCAACAAAGAATTAGTTAAAAAATATAAGGTCATTATTAAATATTTATTTGTGTTTAACTGAAACAGGTAAGAAATATAAATGTTTAATGTTACAAGGGAGATAGTTAAATCTCATTGAAAGTTTTAGAACTACTGTAACTGTATACTGACTGTATTTAGTAATTAAAGTAAATACATTGATAAGTAGAGTAGGTCTGACATATTACGTCAATTATTTTGTGTGATTAACATCAGTTAGTTCAATTGCGGAATAATTGATGTTTCAAACTCAGAAGTGTTCACCCTTTAGTCATTTATAACATTACTATAGTAAAATACGTATTTAAAATATTTTACAATTTTGTAACTACTAAATGATATCGTCAGACAAATTATTATTTACAATAGTGAATTGCGCCAGCAAATATAATAAATAACGTGAATTTTTAATAAAACGTGACAAATAATAAATAATATTCAATTTTAACGACTATTAAAATTGAAATTTTCGCATGCATTTGTCAGAGTAGCGATCAAATTTAATTCACAAATTCAATATTTAATATCTTCAAACAGATCTACTGAAATTTAAAAAAAGGTTAAAAAAAGGTACTGGTAATTTGATCAAACTATTACTACTAAAACTAAGTATACATGCAGTAAAATTTATCCAATTGATACCGTCGTCGAAAATTATCCAACTCTGAGTATTTCAATTATTAAACCAACTGGCAATATATTTCCTAATTTAATTTGCGTAATCAAGTACACAAGAAGACTGACTGTCACACATTCCTAATAATAATCTAATAACATAACTATAAACACAATTTCTGTTCCTGCAATCAATAATACTTATTCCCAAGAAAAAACAGTTTTCAAAAACTAAAAATACTCATCCTTCGAGTAGCATGTATCTTTCAAACTCAGTTGCCTAAAAACGAGATTATAAAAACGATTTCATATTAACAAATATATTCAGAAACAAGATTACTTATTCCTACCCAAGCATGGTTGCAATCGAAACCAAGACAAACGAAACGATCCATAGCAACAGGTAACCCTCAGAAGCCCTTGACTGCTAAAAGTGCCCTCCGATGAAAACTGTACACACGCATCGCTCATTATATTCGATTGCTGCCTGAAACGGATCTCAGGTAGCGTATATCGAAAAATTAGTATTCAAGGTTTAACCATGTATAAAACTCTCGCCGGCCCGACGGCACCAGGCATTTCCGAAAAAATCGAGGCAGGTGCATGGAAAACGCATTTTCGCGAGTATATTTAGTCGTTTTAAAGCAATAGATTTCCTCGCCACGTCCTCCGTTCTCCTCCCTTTTCCGTCTTAGCCTCTGCCGATACCGGGAAAGGGGTCAGGTTTGACGACGCGGAACTCGGGTGCAGCAAGCTAGCTGTTCGAGATATCGAACGGCAATGCCAAAGAGGTTGAACCCCCGTCAGCCAAGTTTACGATCGCACGGGGGCTTAGCCTATACTAAGGTAGCGAGCCACGGGTGTAAACGCGACCGGTAAACCACGGCCTGTAATTGCCTCGTTCGAGGATAGAAGGTTCTCAGGACGTCGGGAACGTCCCGTTAAGAACTTACCAGGGGGGACGTTCTCTTCGTTTCTGATAGCTCGGCATTATCTCTTTATTGCCCTCTGAACGTTATTCTTAGTATTCTCGGAATGTCGTTCTACCCGTGCGTTATCGGTTCGCTTTAAAAAATTTTCTTCCCGCTAAAACGCTTACGTAGCTACTATAATATTGATTTTTCTCTCGTGTTCAGGAAATTATTGTTTTCTTTTTACGAGCCGTCACTACCCCCACCACGTCCACCGTCAACACTCTCCTCTCGCACCATCCCCTGCTTTGCCACCCCTCACTTGGTTTCCGCGATCGATTCGAGTGAACAGTGAATGTCAAAGTGTCGCTTAATTTAGGGACACTGGAAGTTAAGGGATGATTCCCTTTCTCGTTGCTCGAGCCGCCGCGGAACAGGGGATTCTTTGCTTGAGGGTGTAAGTCGACGCGGATCATGGTTTATTCTTCGATTTAGAAATACTAGTACTGTTCAAGAGAGTTGTTCGTGTCATAGAGTTATCTCTTTGTAATGATTGTTGGAGAAGATTTTGTATGTAACTTATTTTCTGCTGAAGTTTGAAAAATGTTTTAGATATTCATTTGATAGACAGATGGCGCTAGTTTATATTGTACAGGGAGTGATTTTAAACGTATTTGAAATTTATTGTAAACTGTTTGTTATGTAAGGAAATATTACAGTCTTTTGTTATTTTGAGTTTTTGTAGAGATGTGAATATCAGCATGAGCTTTTAAAATGTACTGTGTAATATTTGACCCCACAGTTTGAAAGTATGAAATACTGAAAATGAATTTTGTGACACGTATTTAAAGGGATGTAAATTATTTAATTAAAAAATTTCAGATATCATGGAATTTTGTTATTTTTGGTTTAGAAGTACAGACTGTATCAGTTCCTATAAATTGTTCTAACATTTCGCTACAATTACTGCTGATTAAATTATATAATGCTACTGTCCACAATGTAAAAATAATAAAAGACTTCAACGATATTAATTGGGGCACCCTCACAACGGAGATACAAGCTGTTATTTGAACTCAATCTAAAGCTATCTCTTTCTAACATTTTAGTTGTACAACTGACTCATTAAAAGTCTTTGGTTAGTGAGCAATGAACTGGAATATGAGCAGGTTTCACTTTAACAGTGAATCACTACAAGGTATACACCATTATCAATGTGTCACTCGATCCTCTAATGAAGCTAATTGCAATGTCAGTAGAACGTCAGGATAATTTTTTCAAAAGGGCATAGCCCGAACCTGAAAGCCTCAAGAATGAAGAGGACGAACAGAAATAAACTTCGTAGAATTCTATGTCTATGAGGGAAACAAGCAAGTGAAACAGTACATCGTTAAATATTTCGCCATCAATAGGATACACACGGTCTGCAGGGTTTTCAAAATTCATTAATGAAAACACTGTATCTTTAGTTTGAACAGATATTTCTAAAATAAACTAGTAATGAGATGTTTCATGAATAAAATTGGAAATCTGAAAGGAGAAAAATAACTTTTCTATTAATATCAAACATCATATGCATATTGAAATAAAGTTTGATTACTTTGTATTTTTAATATTAATGAATATGGATCTTTGTTTTCTACAGCATTGTTTCTGTTACAAATAATTTAATTTTAATCTTAGTAGAACCGAAGCCTGATATTTTTCCAAGCTTGTTATGCGTCGAACTAGTTGAATATCGAATTAAAGTTTAAGAGGGGTTATATCACGTATACTTGGCTGAAAAATTGAGGGGTTACTATAGATCCATACTATCAGAAAGCTATCATTCTGGGAGGACTCCGTGAATGAAAATCAGCTTTAAAGAATAGATCTCAAAAATGAGATTGGCTCGTTACTGGGGCTTCCTTCGGCAGAAAACGTAATGATATACAATAAAAAATTTTATTGGCGCTTATTCATACAGATATTTTATAGACCTGTGACTGATTCGTGATTGTTTATTACTTCAAGATCGGAGAGTGGTCATTCATATGCAAATATATAAACATTAATACGGTTTGGAGTTTGGGCGTATCTGATAACAGTATGCTGTCAAATATTGATTACTCTTAGGGAATTTTTAATTTTTAACTAATTACCATTGTTAGAATTTATATATTTTTAACCGTGAAATTATTATTGCAACTTTTAACATAATCA